GCACAGCAGGCGGCGGCTGGTGCTGCAGCAGGCGGCTCTCAAGCTGCCGGGGCCATACATGGTGCAAGCCCACGGGCAGGGCTGTGCCCTCGTGCAGGTTGGTAGGACCCGGGGGCCCCGTCCCAACTGTCCGAATGAAAAATAGTCCAAAATGTCCAAAATCCAACATCCAAAATATGGTGCAAGCCCAGAGAAGAGCAACAGACACAGTTCCATGGAGACCCACCTTACCCCTCAGCCTGAGAACAAACCACCCTGAACTGACTTGCTCAAACCCTGCCTCAGAGAAACGATCTCCGCCTGAACATGGCTTTAACCAGCTCGGATCTGCTCAACTGCTCTGCTCAACCCCCAGTAGCAACCCTATTCCTACTATTTGACCTAGAAACTATCCCCCTACTACCACTCCCATCTTAACATTTCCAGCCACCACCCTAACCTGAACCTGTACCATTATCCTCCTCCTAACACTAAGATTCGCCAGTGAATGAACACGAGGAGGATTAGAAGGAGCAGGAGTCAGTCTAACCAAGACAGCTGGTTTCTCTGGGTGGAACTAACCCTCCTGTGTCTCCACAGCTGAACCTGTGCTATAACGTGCCACCATCTCCAAGCATGGGGATGTTCAACCTCCACGTCGGGACGGAGCCCAAGGAGTGCACTGGGGACACCAACACCCACTTCCAACTCGTCCTCTGGGCACGGTAGGGCTGAAGCTGCCCCCTGGGTTTGGGTGGGTCAGGAGCAGACCCCAACTCCACCCTGGGGCTCTGCCCTTGCAGGTACACTGGGGACCGTGCTGCCACCAACATGGTTGTCATTGAGGCCAAGTTGCCATCTGGCTACAGCCCAGACAAGAGCTCCATGGTGGAGGTGAGAAGCTCCTGTTGCCCCCAGAACTGAGGCAGGCACAGTGGGACATGGAGGGGCACTCACTCAGGTGCTAGGGCACCCACCGAGTAGCTGTTGCCCATCCTGAGCTGTGTTCCTGCAGCTGAAGAGGCAGAAGCTGGTGAAGAAGGTGGAGGTGAAGCCCGACCAGGTGATCATTTACCTGGAGCAGGTGAGATGGGGCATGGGGACACGGGCAGGACCCTGTGTGCTGGGGTGTGGGGATGTTCCCCATCATGGATGAATGGTTGCACCTCATCCTTGGGATATCTCCACAGCTGACAAAGGATGAGGAAACCTTCACCTTCACCGCTACACAGGACTTCCCAGTGAGGAACCTCCAGCCAGCCACTGTGGTGCTGTACGACTACTATGAGACGGGTGAGCCCTGGTGGGCACGTGGTCCTGGTGGCCACCAGTGGCTCAGAGGGGGCCTGGCTGAGCTTTTGGTTCCCTCTAATGAGTTTTGGCTCACTAATGGGAGCAGCTTACCCTGAGCTCATCCTTCCCATTGCAGGTGATCGCAGGGATGCTGCCTACAGTGCACCCTGCAGCTCAGGTAGGGGCTGAGCCTGACAGGGCAGAGGGGTCACCCCACCACTGGGACCCTGATGGGGACCCACTGACCCTGAAGGGCCAAGCTGGGCTGTGCTAAGCCCCTGGAGCCAGGGGAAGATGAGTCAGAAGTGGGGATGGAGGAGCCCAGGCAGGCGCCTGGAGCCCTGGACCGATGGATGGACACTTGCTGGGCAGAGCTTTGGAGGGTTGAGCTCAGGGAGGACCCAGGCTGTGGGGTGCAGAGAGAAGCTGCTTTGAGGGGGCTCAGACCCCCCATCAGTCCTCCTGTGCTCCTTATGGAGCTCCCCATCTGTGGATTTGGGCTCATAGAGGGGATGAGACACTGAGCTCCAAGGGATGGGGCTCAGCTGGAGGGACAGGGGCAGCCAGGGGGCAGCCGGGGGGCAGCGGGGTCTCTCCTCTCAGCACACCCTTGTCTCATGTTGAAGAGACTGATGGTCAGGAGCAGGAAAACTTCTAGCACAGCCTGAAGCCCGGCAGCTGGAACCCTCCACTCATCCCAGCTCCCTCAGCCACCGAGGACCGGGACAGCCCCTGCTCCCACCCTGCCCCTCCAGGGGGGCAGAGCACAGCTGAGATGCTCGCAGCTCCCTCTGTACTTGGTCACACCTCCCTCCAGCAGCTCCCACCCCACCAGGACCCAGTGCTTCCCCTCCCTGGCCCTAACATGGTACCACTG